AGTCATTGCGTTCGGCAACGGATTTCTGCTTTTCTCTGAATTTACTTTTTCTAAGAAAAGTCTCTTTAGGGTGATTTCACGATAACAGGAATAGTTAAAATGTGAAATACCTTAAAAATAAAAGTGCACCAATTTTAACAGGATTTCATTACCTCATTTTAAAGGTATTAAACTTCCCTTTTCCAGTCTTTGCACGCTCTATTTTGATTCAGTGCAAAGTTAAAGTGATTGGTAAACAAGCCATTGAATCAGATATCAGCGCTTCCCGCGGGACTGCTGGAGGTCCACGCAAACATGGCGGCCCTGCCAAATTGTGTCGGTTACGTAACAGACACAGCGTAACCGACACTTGTAAATGTGAGATTAAAGATGATACAAAAGATGAAACTTGGCAATTCTTGAGTTATGAGGTAGAATTAATGCTGCCTTAAAAGTTTTCTAAACTTTAAAGACTTCCTTTTAGTTTAATAATATTAAATTGAGGTTTTTGCGTAGTGAGGAAATAGTGCTACACACCTAAAAATCACTGGTTTTCATAATAATTAAAGTTTTCATTGTAAAAAAACTGACTTATCAATAATGGTTTTGTTGAGAAGACTTCAACGAACAATTTGATGGCAGTTTTGAAACTCCTGACTCCATCTGGCGAGAGAAACACTGCACTTAATACAACTTTAAAAATGTGTTGCCAAATGTGGCGACACCTCTTTCTAATGACTTTTCTCGCTCAATAATAAACATTTCAGTTCAAACTGGCAATTTTCTTGAACATTAGAGTCTCTTTTCAGCAAATATTGCCAAAGAATTCATGATCAGTACTGATTTGTCATCGCAAATTGCTCTTTTGCTTCAAAATCGGGGTTGGCGACGCGTAACCGACCGGACATTTTCGGCCTTTAAAGTCTCATATTATTAAATATAATAATAATTTATCATATTTTTTAGCATGGATAGGTTCAGGGACATCATTCCTATTGATTTATTCCTTTGGTTTTTAAGTGTTTTGCCCTATGTCGTTCATAACCCACGGCGACACGACTATTCCTCTTATCGTGAAATCACCCTTTAACATCTCGACAGAGGCGAAAGCTTTTACTTTCAGGGATTTGACAGTTCCCAACGGGCAGCCACACTGCCACAATCATTTCGTCCCGCTCCGTTAGATGCTGGGCTGTGCACTGAAAAAAAAATCTCGGTGTATTTACTAAGAAAAGGGTAAAATTACCAAGAATTGGTAAAAAAAAGTGAGATGGTAAAGGTACCAACAAACCTTGGTAAAAACGCCGAGAATTTGTTTTCAGTGTGCGCTCAACATGAATTCCGATTTTTCCAATCGCAGAGAAATCTATAAATGAGGCTATTGCTACCTTTCATAACCTTTCGATCTATTAGGGAAAGTTGCAGTTCTTGAAAGTTGGCAACAATGTTTTCCTTCATTTAAATGTATGTCTAGGGTGGCCCTTATTTTTGACTTTTTGGAATTTAATGAGCAGCACCCCCTAAATTGGTTCTATTTGATGTAAAAACACTGTAAAAAAAATTTGAGGCCTTTACGTCAAGGGTAAATGGTGCCGAAAACAGGGGAAAGATGCAGCGCGTAAAACTGAAGATGCGCATCTTTACGCTTTTCGCCGATTTGACTGCCGTTTTTAAGGGAGTTGTAGATGCTCAACACCCATTATTGGTGGTGTTTCTAACACAACTTTTTGCGTATATTAAGGATATTTTAACAGATTTGGCCTCAGATAATTACCTACCCCCCTTACGGTAGGCTAAAGTGGCCCCAAAACGTCATTTAAGCTCTCGAAATCGCTTTTTTCCGAAGTTCGGCGCTTGTTACCGGCAAATGAAAAGGCTTCAAGAACTATAATTTTCTTGTATGTGGCACAACTTATTCCGTAGATTAAGGATATTTTAACAGATTTGGCCCCAGGTAATTACCTACCCCCCTTACGGTAGTCTAAAGTGGCCCCAAAACGTCATGTAAGCTCCCGAAATCGCTTTTTTCCGAAGTTCGGCGCTTGTTACCGGCAAATGAAAAGGCTTCAAGAACTATAATTTTCTTGTATGTGGCACAACTTATTCCGTAGATTAAGGATATTTTAACAGATTTGGCCTCAGGTAATTACCTACCCCCCTCCCCCGCCCTGCGCACAATAGGTTGAGGGGGCACTGAAACGCGATTCAAGCTCCTGGAATTAGATTATTTCAAAGTTAGGCGCTCGTTACTTGCAATTTAAAAGACTGGAAGAAGCATAATGTTCCTCCACGTATAAAATAACTTTCAAATGCACAAATTTTAAGAAGAATACTGAAGAAGGGTGTAAAAAAAACTTACAATGATTTTGGTTAGTCCGCTCAACAGTTTCTTCCGTAAAGTTGATTTTCCAACGTTGGGAAAAGCTTCCCGATAATCGCTAACAACCTGAAGAATCCGTTGCCGCTCTTCGTCCGATTTCGTGAGTTTCTGGCTGTACTCTTCAAATAATTTAACGCTGCGTTCGGCTGTGTCGTTGACAACCTTGATTTTTTTCACAATTTCGCGATTTTTGAGGTACTGAGGATTTTCTAGCGATGTTGATGGATCTTCTTTAAGAAAGTTTGACGAAAGATGGAATCGCTCAAAAAATTTATATGACGAACAAGAAATAAAATTGGAAACATCTTTTCCTGAAATTTCCTCTGCTGATTGTAGTTTTGTTTTCTTCTCGCCATCTTCGAGAGGGTTTTCTTCAGATGAAGCAGTTACCATTTTCCGTT